GTCTGGACTATAGAACAGTCTATAGTCTGGACTATAGAACAGTCTATAGTCTGGACTATAGAACAGTCTATAGTCGACTATAGAACAGTCTATAGTCTGGACTATAGAACAGTCTATAGTCTGGACTATAGAACAGTCTATAGTCTGGACTATAGAACAGTCTATAGTCTGACTATAGAACAGTCTATAGTCTGGACTATAGAACAGTCTATAGTCTGGACTATAAACAGTCTATAGTCTGGACTATAGAACAGTCTATAGTCTGGACTATAGAACAGTCTATAGTCTGGACTATAGAACAGTCTATAGTCTGGACTATAGAACAGTCTATAGTCTGGACTATAGAACAGTCTATAGTCTGGACTATAGAGTCTATAGTCAGACTATAGACAGTCTATAGTCTGGACTATAGAACGTCTATAGTCAGACTATAGAACAGTCTATAGTCAGACTATAGAACAGTCTATAGTCTGGACTATAGAACAGTCTATAGTCTGGACTATAGAACAGTCTATAGTCAGACTATAGAACAGTCTATAGTGCGACTATAGACAGTCTATAGTCAGACTATAGACGTCTATAGTCAGACTATAGAACAGTCTATAGTCAGACTATAGACAGTCTATAGTCTGGACTATAGAACAGTCTATAGTCGACTATAGACGTTCTACAGTCGACTATAGACTATTCAATAGTCAGACTATAGTGTCTATAGTCAGACTATAGACAGTCTATAGTCTGGACTATAGACAGTCTATAGTCGGACTATAGACTGTCTATAGTCCAGACTATAGACGTCTATAGTCTGGACTATAGAACAGTCTATAGTCCAGACTATAGAGTTCTATAGTCAGACTATAGACTGTTCTATAGTCCAGACTATAGACTGTCTATAGTCAGACTATAGACTGTTCTATAGTCAGACTATAGACTGTTCTGCAGTCCAGACTATAGACTGTTCTATAGAAAGACTATAGACTGTTCTATAGTAAAGACTATAGACTGTCTATAGTAAAGACTATAGACTGTTCTACAGTCCAGGCTATAGATTGTTCTGTAGTCCAGACTACAGACTTTCTATAGTCCAGACTATAGACAGTTTTATATTCTTTACTATAGATTGTTTTATATTATTGACTATAGACTGTTCTCTAATCCAGACTGTAGACTATTCTATAGTCCAGACTATAGACTGACTCTAGCCTATACTATAGACTATTCTGTTGTCAAACTATACACTATTATATAATCCATACTACAGACTATTCAATGTTTTCTGGATAAGAGTATAATTTAATTGTGTGTGAAATTGATTTTAAAATTTGGGCCTTAATCCCGGCGATACTGCAATACCAGGCCAACCCGTGACAGAAGTGAAGCAAGCTCCTAAAGCATTCCGTCTAATACAAAAATCAGTTTAACATTTGTTGTCCTCCGATGGAGGATCTATCAGATGTTAAGCTGATAAGAACAGATACTACACTTTGATCTTAGCCATAAGGCCGAGAAGCGATAACTAAACACATAAAAAAACAAACTAGTTATGGCAAAAATTTTATAAACTAAATGGGAATTATAAAGGAAAACGTATACGAATATTTAGAATGCCACTTAAAGATGTTGTTTATAGTTTAGGGGTTGTTTAGTTATTTGTCAGAGAAATTGCAGGCGTAAGTAAGATAATTAATTTGGCTAGTTAAGACTGGTCTTTAATCTTTCATCATATGTAGATGTAAAGGTGGAATTGTTAGGTTTTTACTGATCACTTCTGTCAACTTTTGCTCCACTTGTTTGTGTATGCGTAAATTTTGAAAACTTTTTTGTTGATATTTTTAAATTTCGTACATAAAATATGTTCTTTTTTTCGAAGTGTGTGTCATTATTTTATCTTTTCAGCTTTTACTATTTTGTATATTGTTAGAAACGACTTTAGAAATATTTAAAGAAAAAAAAAACTTGTCCGCCGTTGTAGTAGTTAAAGTTTGTTTTTTTTTTGGTTTTTTTATTACTTAAAAATTTATATTTTGTTCAATACATGTGTACGAATTACTTGTACTTGTTTTGTTGTGTATTTTTTTATTTACGTGGGTCGGTATCTTAGAGCGTAATTGTTTAAAAAAAAAGTAAAAAAGTAAGTACAGTGTATGTCTATCTATCTACCGGTACATAGATCAGTACACTCACACACTAGATCTGTGCTGAATAGTTGTGTCAAACCCTTCAGTATTTTGTTGGAAGAGTGAGTGAATAGGTTTTTTTATTATTCATTCAATTCACTTTTAAACGCGCATTCATTCACTTCAATTCATGTGTGTTTCTTGTCATTTGTTAAAGATTTGGAATCAATGAACTAATTTTTGTTTGATTTTTAATAGTGTCGATGCTTATCATGGCTTGTAACTAGCATCCACGTTATTTGCAGCCTGATTTTAAGTGTGAGATCATTTTCGTTTGAAAATTTGTAATTATTGATCAGTAAACGGTTTAATAATGTCGGATGTGGAACATTTAAAATCAGTTTAATATTGAAATATTTTTTTGGGATTCTGATATGTTTACTTTAAACATCATAGCACCCTTCCTTTCCCTTTCACACCATTTGAAATTTATTCTTAAATATGGAACCAAATCCCAGCGATACTCCAGTACTGGTACAAACCTTAACAGAAATTTAAATCATTTCGTTTGATTATGGAAATCTGTTTAACATTGTTGTCCATCGATTGAGGGTTTATCAGAAGTAGGACTGTTAAGAGCAGATATATAAATTTATTCCCGAAATCCAGAGATACTGTAATACCTCTTAACAGAAGTGGCTCCTTAAAAATTCCGTCCGATCACAAAAATCAGTTATTAGGACGATATAAGAACATATAATTTTGCCCTCATTATTTCCTAAAACTATGTACTTTTGAAATGTATTTTCTAAATGGGCCTAAATCCCAGCGATACTGCAATACCGGGCTAATCCTTGACAGAAGTGAAGCAAGCAAACAAAGACAAATTTTTGCTAGTCCCAGTGCAAAAAGAAATCATATTTCTTCGACGTTTCTTTTTTAGTACGATTTCTCCTGGGTTTGGATATAATTTGAATTATACGTGAAATCGATTTTAAAATTTGGGCCTAAATCCCGGCAATACCAGGCCAACCCGTGACAGAAGTGGAGCAAGCTCCTAAAACATTCCGTCCAGTTACAAAAATCAGTTTAACATTTGTTGTCCTCCGATGGAGGATCTATCAGATGTTAAGCTGATAAGAACAGATACTACACTTTGATCTTAGCCATAAGGCCGAGAAGCGATAACTGGTCATATAAAAAACTCATAACTTCTGTTGTAAAATATAAACTGAATGGGAATTATTAATCAAAAAAGCATACATTATTTAGACAAAGTTATTGATACTTTAAGGGTAATTTAGTAATTTAGGGTTCTTGTTACTTATATTTAAGAGTACACAGGTAGATCCCATATTATATTATACATTAGAAAGGTCTGCTAAAAGTCAAAATATCTTTTCATAAACGTAAATATTTTTCGCATTCTTTCAGGTAGCAAGAACATTTCAAAACTACCCCTAAAAGTTTAGTGTCTTCCACAGAAATTTAGTTCATAAAATATTTCAAATAACTAGTTTGTTTTTTATATCTTTAGTTATCGCTTCTCGGCCTTATGGCTAAGATCAAAGTGTAGTATCTGTTCTTATCAGCTTAACATCTGATAGATCCTCCATCGGAGGACAACAAATGTTAAACTGATTTTTGTAATTAGACGGAATGTTTTAGGAGCTTGCTCCACTTCTGTCACGGGTTGGCCTGGTATTGCAGTACTGCCGGGATTTAGGCCCAAATTTTAAAATCGATTTCACATATAATTCAAATTATACTCAAAGCCAGGAGAAATTGTACTAAAAAAGAAACTAGTCGAAGAAATATGATTTGTTTTTGCACTGGGACTAGCAAAAATTAGTCTTTGTTTGATTTGGATTACTGAATAATCCGGATTCTAGAATAGTCTGGACTATAGAATAGCCTATAGTCTGGACTATAGTATAGTCGACAGTCTGGACTATAGAATAGTCTAAAGTCTGAACTATAGAATAGTCAATAGTCTGGACTATAGAATAGTCTATAGTCTGGGCTATAGAATAGTCTACAGTCTGGACTATAGAATAGTCAATAGTCTGGACTATAGAATAGTCTATAGTCTGGGCTATAGAATAGTCTACAGTCTGGACTATAGAATAGTTATAGTCTGGATTATAGAATAGTCTGGACTATAGGTTAGTTTATAGTCTCTACTATAGAGTAGTCTATAGTCTGGATAATAGAATAGTCTATAGTCTGGACTATAGAATAGTCTATAGTCTGGACTATAGAATAGTCTATAGTCTGGACTATAGAATAGTCTATAGTCTGGACTATAAAATAGTCTATAGCATGGACTATAGAATAGTCTATAGTCTGGACTATAGAATAGTCTATTGTCTGGACTATAGAATAATCTATAGTCTGGACTATAGAATAATCTATAGTCTGGACTATAGAATAATCTATAGTCTGGATTATAGAATAATCTATAGTCTGGATTATAGAATAGTCTGGACTATAGAATAGTTATAGTCTGGACTATAGAATAGTCTATAGTCTGGGCTATAGAATAGTCTATAGTCTGGGCTATAGAATAGTCTATAGTCTGGGCTATAGAATAGTCTATAGTCTGGACTATAGAATAGTCTATAGTCTGGACTATAGAATAGTCTTTAGTCTGGACTATAGAATAGTCTGGACTATAGAATAGTCTCTAGTCTGGACTATAGAAAAGTCTTTAGTCTGGACTATAGAATGGTCTTTAGTCCGGACTACTGAAAAGTCTGTAGTCTGGACTTTAGTAAAGTCTATAGTCTGGACTATATTAAAGTCTATAGTCTGGACTATAGTAATGTCTGTAAACTGGACTATAGAATAGTTATGTTATGATCTCATATAAAAACTTAAAGTTTTTAATTAATTTTATTTCACTGTAAAATTAATGTAAAAAAAATTTTATGATTTTAGGTGCAACTGTAGTATCTTGGCGGGTCAACAATCAAGAGCAGTTATTTGTCAGGTAAGTCAAATATAAATCGGTTGGGAATTGTGGTTAATATTATAAGAGATTTTTTAAAATTAAAAGTAGAAAAAATTTTCTGATCTCGAATGATATTTCTCTTTATCAATTTAGAATTGTTTATTCCAATTAATGTTACAAATATTTTCGCAATTGTTATACTTTTAGAAATTCAAATCATTAAATTATTTTAAAGCAAACATTCATTTGCTTACGACCTTTAACTGAAACTTTGCTATTAACAACAAAAACAATGCAAACTGTTTAACGGATAGTTCAAAGTTCATGGAGTAACTTTAATCAGCGAGAAATAGAGCCAGCAGAGTAGCAGTAGTATGTATGCTAACCTAAAAAGTGATTTGAAAAAGTTTTAGTTTTAGTAAAATTTCAAAAAAATCAACTAAAACTCCAACTAGTATATCAAACAACAGTCTACGTTAGCTTAGGTACCGCATTCGATTTAAATTATATACGGGATTCCTCAAGTCCAAGCAGAAAACTAATGAAGCTGCAGTAAAACATTTATACATATACATATGTATGTATGTATTAAACATATGCGAGGGGGTTTTATAAGTCAATACAAAAATATTGAAAGAAAGAAATGTCCGAATTTTTTCTTACATGAGTTTATTTTAGTTTGGAATGTCCTTTGAACACTTCTTGTTAAATTTGTTATTTGGATAAAAATTAGAACCTTTTAATAAAGGTTAAAAACTCAAACAATTGGCCAAAATTCAAATAAAATTAAAAACTATCCATAAAATGGACAAACCAAGAAACAACCAACAAGCGGTTAAATCGTTACAACTTTACGAGTACCTCAATGTACCCAATGTGTGTTACAGTAGGAATGACGACGATGATGATGATGACATTTATCTTAAACCTGGTTAAATGCACACAAATCAGTAGCATTACATTTTCTTTAGTAGAGAGTCAATGCAGCAACAACAAAAAACAACAACAACATTGGTTGTCCTGTGGTGAATCAACAAAAATAATAAATAAAAAAAAAAAATATATATATTGGTTGAATGTTTTCTCCCGATTCCTACTTTTACTCAGCGTGTCATGTGAGAATTGCATTTATATGTATATGCAGGGATGGAAAATGTTGTAGTAACGATATTTCCTAGTTAAGTTATTCTATTTATTTTTAACTTAAAATCAACAAGAAAATAAAGTCTAATATAGCCGATATTAAAAAAGTTTGAAAAGATGACAATTTAAAAATTCTAAAAAGTCGAATAATCGACTTTTCATAACTTGCTAAAAGTCAACTTTCTATTAATAGCAATAAACTGACTTTCGGTTTCAACAATAACCGCTACAACTGAGTACTTCTTATTCCAAAAAAGCCATTGAACTGAGCCAAGTTGAACTATAAACAATATATCTTTTCAAAATGACGAATTTCCATCCCTGATGTAGTACATAAAATATATGTTTGTGTATATGTAATATATGTTTTTATGTTTAGCAATGTGTTGGTGTTATTCTTTAGTTTTTGCTCAATTTCATCCTCATTGTCGCCAACATCAAAACACGATGGTACTATTCGTTTGTATAAGAGTCCAACCGAATTAAGTTTTTTTTGGAAAATTAACTTAACCGATGATTTTAATGTAAATATATATGGAAGTATCTTCAAAATATTGATGCGATTCACAGATAAGCTTTTTACAATAATAACTCGTTTCCGATCCCTGCATTACTTGGGATATTAATGATGTCCTACTGAATACAAATTGGAACAGAAAGGAAGTATTTTTCTCGTACAAAGCGTTGATAAGTCGAATTCTATGGCAACTCAATTTAGCCAGCACCAGATCTGTATAGTTTGTAAGCAACCCAATGTAGGTGGAAGTCAGTTTGGTCCACGCAGTCTGGTTTTATGCAATAAATTCAGTAGCATTAAATATGTATATTTTTTGCAATTTTCATTTCGGATAACTCGTCTCTTACTACAGGTTCCCATATGTCTACTGTAATGGGATTGTACCACCACCAGCCTAATCTGGCAACCCTGAAGTTACTCGCCACAAAAAGCTTTCAAAACGGGCTGCAACTAGGGTTCTATAGTTGAAACGAAAAGTCGACTTTTCGACTTTTTGCATTTAGTTAAAAGTCGACTTTTCGACTTTTTGCATTTAGTTAAAAGTCGACTTTTCGACCTTTCGACTTTTTCCATTTTATGAAAAGTAGATTTTTCGACTTTTCGACCTTTTTCATTTATTTAAAAGTCGACTTTTAGACTTTTCGATTTTTAGTATTTTATAAATGGTCGACTTTTCGACTTTTTCCGACTTTTCGACTTTTTCCGACTTTTCGACTTTTTGATTTTTTACGACTTTTTGACTATTTTCGATTTATTTCGACTTTTTTTCGACTATTTTCGACAATTTTTTTACTTTTTTCGAGTTTTTCCGACTATTTTAGAGTTTTGACCTCTTTTCCACTTTTTTAAAATTTCGACTCTTTTCGACTTTTTTCGACTTTTCGACTTTTTCCGACTTTTTGATTTTTTCGACTTTCTTCGACTTTTTTCGACTTATCCGACTTTTTTCGACTTTCAACTTTTTTCGACTTTTCGACTTTTTTCGACTTTCCGATTTTTTGACTTTTCGACTTTTATTTACAAAGTCGACTTTTCGACTTTTTTCATAGACGATAGTCGAGTTATCGACTTTTTTTGGAACAAAATAGTCGACTTCGACTTGGGGTACTTATAGTATCAGTGGTTTGAACCCAAAATCACGAGAATTAGAGAACTGATATAGTATATTTGAATGTCTCTTGTTGCTGACCGGTTCAACAGATTCACTCGATTGATCTTATATAGAGAATAGAAATCTCTTGCTCCTCAGGAGATTAGTATTGATTTAGTAGGCCCTTCTTCTCGGTGATGTTACCATCTCAACAGAAATCATATAGCTAATATATTATACGTCTCAGCTCCCCCTGTTGGCGAAATTTTGGAGCTCAGTTGGATCCACATCCACACCACTTTGGCAAAAAGAGGTATCCTGATTTATTGTTGGTGTATTTTGGTCAAATATGTTCTAGGTGCTGTTGCCGAATTATCAGAGACTTGGGGGTGTGGCTTGAGGTTTAGAAATGTGTTTGAGTGGATCATTGAAGAATGCGGATGATACGTATCGCTCATGTCAACGTTGACCTTGTTGATATGGCTCGGATGTTATGGCTATACACGGTATAGTGGCGTATCAGGTGCATTAGGTACCCCTCCTTGTCGGGGCATATATTGATTGTTCTCATGGAATTTTCAGTCCCTTAGTTCTTTCCGTTTTAACCCTATTGAGCTTTTCTACGAAAGAGGGAATGTAATGTGTATAAGAGGGAATTTAAATGTGTATAAGTGAAGCCCGCTATGACATTGGGTAAACATTACAAGGAGGAATCAATAGTAGCGGAAAGGTTCCATTAAAAGGTTCTATATAACCGATCATTGATCAATGTCCAGAAAGCGTTTTGAGCAACATCCACGCATTAATTAGGGCAACGAATTGTCTTCGAGGCAACGTTGACCATTTGGATTAGAACATAATTGGTGAGATCCCAAAACGATATCACAATGGGACCTATAATTCGACCCAAACTAAGAGCTTGCTGAAGATAAAATGACTTTAGTCCTCGAATTATACCTGAGAAACAGACAGCGATTTGTGCAACATACAATGTTGATCAGTTGGATTCTGAATATTTGGTGGATCGTTCAAAATCAAACCGATTTTAGATTATTGTAAACCGAATACGGTTGACTATTTGAGTGAGACTTTATAATCGGTGGTTCAGTAGTTTTTTATGAATGGATTTGCGCGCATTTATATTGCTTTCTACATAAATCGATAATTTTTTGTTGTTGACCATACTACGAGTGTTGTGCATTGTTGTTGTTGTAAGTTTTTTTTTTTCGTATGGCTGACAAACTGACTGACGATTTGGCTCGGTGGTTCGTTGGTTGGTTGTATGGTTAGTTAGCTTTCGTTTTTAGTTGTTGGCCCTACATTTACTATATACGGACTCGTGCAATCCTCTGTTTTTTATTCTCTTCTTCTATTTGTTATTTGTTTTTTTTGTCCATTTTTTTTTTTCGTTTGTATTACAATTGAGTTGCTGATGATGATGATGAGTAGAATGCGGCAATGTTGTTGGGTTCTGTGCTTGCTGATGTTGGTCGTTTGGGGGATTTTTTTTCTTTTTGCTGTTATTGTCGTTTTGTTTTTTGTTTAATATCCGTTTTGTTTTTTTGTAGTCGGTGTGGATTGTTGCTTGCTGCTGTTATTATTGTTCCTGTTGTATTGGTGTGTTCTGCTGCCTTTCTGGCGCTTTTTTCTCATAAACTTTTCGTATTTCACGTTTGCAAGCTTTTTTTTGAACTTTAGTTAGTTGGTTGTCGCTTTTTTTTTTTTGTTTTCTTTCTTTCTCTTTTTATGTTGTTGGCAGTTGGTATGGCTCCACATGGTAGAACTTTTTTTAGCTGTTGCATTTTCATTTCGAATTTGCTGTTTTTTTTTTTTTATAACTTTTTCGGCCATTTCAGAGTTTTTTTTTCGCTTAGTTTCCTTTAGTTACTAACGGCAATTTCTGCCCGCCTTTTATGTTGAGGTAAATATGTATGGTTTTTACTGTTTTCTGTTTTATTATGCGTGTGTGTGGTGTATAAATATTTATTTGTGTGTATTCTGTTTGTTGTTTTTTTTGAACTATCAAATCTAGGATCATAAAAACTGGTCATCAAACAAAAAACTTTTACTTGTTTATTTTGTGTTTGTGTGTTCTTTAGAGCAGAGTTTTAAATGGTTTTAATCATTGAATTGCTAAAAAGATCCGTCGATTACCGCTCCAGTATATCAAGACTCTCAGTCTTGAATCAATCTTTTGACTATATTATACCATACACACGGACTTTAATTGAATGTTCCGAGTCGGAATTCCTTCCAAAAGGGAACGATGCAAGAGTTTAAAAATGAACT